CGCCAGCAGTTGGCCTCGAGAGAAGAGTTGCTCGCTGTATCTGCTGTGAGCCAAATCACACCACAGCAGCACCACCGGTATACACATGAACAGCTGAGCAGCCAGATAATTGCATCAGTAAATAGTTGGTAGTATTGAATGTCGAGCTCAGGGGCTGGCCAGGACTCCTGGAGGTCTCATCGATGTAGCTTGCCGGAGTTTCTATTTTCCTTGGCCTGCATTGGAACCGCCAGCGCCAGGGACAAATATATACGTAACCCTAAATTGGACATCGAGATAGCAGTGCAGACGACCAGGCGCATCCAGATCAACCGCCCTTCTCTCCACAAGCTCCCTTGGTGGTGATCCTCCTCCCTCGACCTCCTCGCTCTCTCTCTTTCTCCATCTTATCCACGGCAGAGACCAGTATGCGACGGGGCTCAGCCATGGGACTGCGGTCTCCTCTCGAACTTCTTTTCCTCCTCTTCACCCTCCTTGTACCTCTTACCTCCGCCGTACGATTCGATCTCATCCCAAATACACACTCAGGAAAGCACGAAAGATGCATAAGGAATTTTGTTGCGCGTGACCAGCTTGTTGTTGTCACTGCCACCGTGAGCGGCTCGAAGGGAGATGGCCAGGTTGTCAACATGCACGTATGTGGTGGACTTTTCTCATCTTTTTTAAGACAAGCAGACTGCAATTGTGGCTTGCACGATATAATAGAATGCATGCTAATTGGATTTGTGTTGTATGGAATAGATCAAGAGTTCTCTAGGCGACGATTACGCCAAACCAAAAGATATTGCCGGCGAGATCAGACAGATGTTTACTGCCAGCGCCGACTCTTCCTTTGACGTTTGCTTCTCTAACGTCCTTTCCGGGAGACGTAAGACTTACCCTGACGGATTTCTCCATTGGCATTACAAACAGTGGAATTTTAGCTAAACTTTTTTTTCTCTCCGATTATAGATCCTGGCCCCAATCCTTCTCGTCAGGTTGAGCTGAGCATTGAAATCGGTGCTGATGCTCGTGACTGGGATGCTATCAAGGTCCAGGAGAAGCTCAAGCCAGTTGAGGCTGACCTTCGCCGTTTGGAGGCCATGATCACCGAAATCGTTGCGGAGATGGACTTTATGCGCGCACGAGAGCAGAAGCTCCGAGATACCAACGAAAGTACCAATGAGCGAGTTAAGTGGTTTGCTTTCGGCACCATGGGCATGCTGATTGGTCTTGGTGTCTGGCAGGTTGTCTACTTGAGAGCCTACTTCCGGTAAGTTTTCCTTTAACTGTAGTATTGGCCCCCTCATCTGGTTCTGCTTGCTAAATGATTTCTTTCTACGATTAGATCGAAGCATCTTATCTAAAGCGTCCATAAAGAGATTTCTTTTGGCGAATGATGAAACTGCCCTTTCCTACCAAAGGCTCTGATCCGTTTCTATGTCTGCTCAGGTACTTTTGGGCGGCCTTTCTGCTTGCTCGGCTTCATTTATTTATACTTCCTCTTTTTCGATATCTATCACGTCTCATTATGAGGGAATACGAATTGTAACTATGATCACTATTCAATTAGCATCTGCGAAAAGCTACAGGGTTTATACATGGATGAACGTAAAAAGAATAATTCTAACTTATTCAGTTATTAAAAATCAACTTTTAGATAGGCTCCCAAATGAGTAGTTGTAGTTGTGAATTTATAATGTCCAGGTGATGCAAACAGTGCAAACAGAGCTC